TTAGTCGCCTAAGCGTAAGGCGGTAGTCACTCGCCACGCCTCGCCTTACCGCCTTAAAAACATTGGTAGAGATGTGCAAATTGTGGTCGGTATCAGGTCCTGGCAGCATCCCACCAAAAACAAATGCTAATTAGTATCCTTGCCGAAAATAGAAATCAGTAATTGCACTTTTTACCTAAAAAGGAAGGGCCGTGCGGTAAGCCAAAATACAGCCGGCCGTACGTTAGCTTCTGGCCGTAAACCGTAACCGATTGGCTTCGTTTTTTTTTTTCACGGTCCTCTTTTTCCGTATCCGATTGCATGTGTCGTTTACTTCCGATTGATTTTTCCTTTTTTTTCTATTATCATATAAATATTAAAAAACAAACAATAGATATAATAATAATAGTAAGAGCCGTTGAAATTCATCTCTCCCTTAAAAAATAGAGATTTACATCTCTAAAGTTATTGATGAAATTTTGATTAGAAACAAAACTTATCTTATTATAGTCTGATTTAACCGATGATCCAACTAATCAATCGTGAACTATATTGTCCATATGAATCTAAATAAATGTGTCTAATATGCATGTACCAATGTAATATTAAAATGATGACATAAAATTAGTTTATATTATGAATGTCATAGTTATCATAAAATTAATAAATTATAGCTTCAAAATTTTATAGAAAAAGTGAATGTATATAGATATGTAACATTCGGTTCTTAATTTTCATGAATACTCTCTCGTTCTAAATTATAAGTCGTTTTGATTTTTTGGTTCATTCATTTTGCTATATATCTAGACATATTATTATATCTAGATGCATAGCAAAATAGATATAAAAAAAAGTTAAAGTGACTTATAATTTGGAATGGAGAGAGTATTTGATGATAGCTTTTTTCTCTCGTTGTAACGTACGGCACGTTTACTAGTAAAAAAAAAACCAAACCTGGATTTTTCATGCCAACAAGTTTGCAATTTGTGGCTGCTTCCTCAATAGTCTTTTTTTTTTCCGACCGCTGCTTCCACAATAGTCCGAACTGTACTATACTAATTGGATTGTTGTCGTACGTGCATAGGACACCCCAACGCACCTTCTGTTTGGAAATAGACTGAATCGGTTTTGGGAAGCGGCCGGAAACCAACACATTGTCCTGAACCACACCGTTCCGATTCCGATCCTGTCACCATGCACGGCCGCCGATCAAACTCTTATGATAATCGATCTTAATTATCCTCCCTCCTGTATATATATAGCTGAGGGCGGTCGGGTACCAGGCAATAAGCCTTCCAATTCCAATCAGATCAATTGTCGCCCTAGTATCTCCTCAGCCTAACCTAATTGGCGTACCGTCGTCCAGGAAGAAAAACCATGGTGGAACATGCAGACGACGCTAGTAAATTTGGATCGTCGTCCATGTTGTCGTGTTTGCCCTTGCTCGTCTTCCACCACCATCCTAATAACGGCCAACAGGAGGACAACAATGACGACGAGATGCTAATGTTCAGCATATCCAAACAAAGCCTGCACAAGAACATGAAGCATGGATTTCTTCTTGCTGCAGCAGGCAGCAGCAGCAGCAGCATGTGCTGGGCCACGCCACAAGGCTGGATGCTCCTCGTCACCCAGGGCCATGAGGACACCGACGACATGGCGGCGGCGTCTTCGGCTTATCTATGGAACCCTAGCACCGGCGACAAGCTTCTCTTACCAGATATCAGAGAGGAGGAACACCGGTTCCCAGAGAGCTGCAGGTGCCTGCTCTCCCACAAGGACCCCACATGCCCCGCCGGATGCGTCGTCGTGCTCTTCGATCTTTCCACGCCTGACTTGTGGTACTGCCACGTCATCAATGGCAATGGCGGAGACGACAACGACGAGACCAGCAGCACCTGGAGGCTGGAGCTGGAGGCATTACTCATATGACATCGGTAACTACACATATCGCCCTCCAACTAAGAGGGTGATTCCCACGGTTGCGGCGTTTCAAGGGAGGTTCTATTTCATCAACTCATTTACAGACATGTGCGCCATCGATTTCACAAGCAGCAAAGTGAAAGACCACCACCCTGCGTTCCACTATTTCGACGCACGCAAGGTTGATTTCCCCAAAGGGATGTGCTTCGGGAAGGCCTGGCTGCTCGACTGCGACGACCAGCTCTTCCTGGTTGACGTCTCCTGCGTCGGCGTCGATCCTCACAACATTGGCGCCATCCGCGTGTACAAGATGGACTTCTCGTCGTCGTCGACACCCAGCAGCAAGCCTCCTCGTTGGCGCAGGGTCCGTGACACTGGAGATGCTGTGTTTCTCCTGGAGGACACAGGCTTGGCGACGTCCTGCCCGGCGAGCCTTCACGGACTGAAAAGGAACCAGGTGTACTTCATGAAGAATTTCGTGGAAGATGATGCTGATCTGTGCGTTTTTGACTTGGAGTCGGAGTGCCAAGAGATTACCCGCGTCCACCATCATGACGGTTTGCTTCTCCGCCGCAACCCGTTCTGGATTGTGCCACCAAGCTAGGAGGTGTTATAATCATATTTTGCTGCAAAAGTGCAGGACATTGTGCGTGTTCGAAGCAATGCAAGCAAATTGCATCTATCTAGCTTATATACAAATTCTTCTCGTCTGGTCTTCCTCTGTCCAGCCTTTGTACCCTTTGACGATGTTTTCTATATGTATATATTATACTTGATTTGCATTTTGCTTGTGTTATGTGCTATATAAAAAATAGTTTTTACTGGACTAATGGAACATGGTGTCATATTTCTTAAATAAAAACTCAACCATGGGATTATGGGAAGAAGACATCACCTAGCTTGTTTATATTGCTTAAACTTTACTGCATTCTAATATTTGGTTGAGTTCATTTTGACTATTGATATTTTCTCTTGGTCACGCTCTTTACTCATCGTGCCTTATTTCTTTCCCAAGAATGATACTTATGGTGCTTGGAAGCTCATACATTTGGTATTTGATTTGACAGATTAATATACACAGCATGGAATGCTGGTGTTTATCATGCCTTCGATTTTATACTAAATCTTAGTTTCTGAGATGCTCACTCATCACAGACTGCTTGCTCATTTGTAGACATGTTTGTGCTCCTTGCAACATTTGATTACAGGAACAGGGATAGAGTTTCCATGCTCCTCATAAAATTGAAGTTTGTTTTATGGTCTCAAAAGTTTGATTGCACCCTTATCCTGTGCTAATTTGAGGGCAATTCTATATGTAGGTGAGTCAAAATGTTTTAATATTTTCTTTCTCTTTGCCTCCTTGTATTTTATCTGCCAAATTGTTTTCTGTTTAGAGATGTTATCTGCGCTATATTCTGTCAATCGAGGAATTTCATTAAGGAGATTATCCACCGTGGTGCTGCCACAGAAGGCGCCACCAATCTGAAATGCTAAGGAAATTATCTATCTGTCACAGACTCACAGTAACAACAATATCAAGGATAAAAAATTGAAAATTTTAATATTTCTTTCTTTGCTTAGTTTATGACCATCAGAATGTTCTTCCTGCCCATACTCTGCATAGTACTTCAGATTAATTAAAAGCAAAGGTTCATCCCACATATGTATGCTATGTGCATAATTACATATCAGTACACAGTCACCATCATTTCATCAAAGAAGCAAATACTGGCAGGTAGGTAGGCAGGCAGGCAGGCAGTAGCAGTATTCAGAAGGAAGCATGAGGCAGCTGGGCAGGCCAGCAGCAATTTATTTATTTTTGCTTCTGGTCCATTTGTCATATATATGGTTTTTTTAACAGCCGTGGTCCTGGTACATGAAAGGATGATCTCATTCTGTCCATGCCTCAAGTTCATGTATTTTCAGGTTTCATTATGCTGAGGAAAGTCCCAGCTTAAATTCAGTTAGACTAGTCTAGGTAGGGAGCAAATGGAAACATGTTAGTTTCTGAGTGTGTAGTCCATAGCTGTTTGGTTTGTTAAGTATCTCAGCAGGCTTCCTTTGTGTTTGTTGTGGTGGCAATAGCTTTCACAGATCGAGGTGAGACCCTCTCTCCCTCCCTAACCTTCATACATTCTAAAGTTGCAGAGAGTGTAAATGTGCTCTTTAGTGCTGCAAGGATGTTGCCCTTGTATAAACCATAATGTTTTACAAGAGTTAGGATGCACGAGACATCCAAATAGAAATCTGTCACAGTTGCGTCCTCATTAGCAGCTGCAAACTCATCTTTTTTGAGCGGAAAATACAGCAGGGGGAGACCCCAACTGTAAACTTTTTATCTCCAAACTCATCTGTCAGACAAACAAATGTATGAAGATTTCTTTGCCTATATAGTGACTGACTAGATTGGGCTTTCTTGTTGGTGTTGCTGGTCAAAACAATCTCTCAGAATTGGGTCATAACATCTTGGTGAGTTTCTTGTCTTTTTTTTTTTCTTATTCAACTGTTTAGAGGCTTATCGACTGACTATGAGGTGCTATCATTCTTAGATTACTATGCTGCTGTTGACCAGTGCAATATCTCAGAATCGGGCCACAACATTTTGGTGAGTTTTTGTCTGCCTATGTGTTTCCTCCATATTTAGTTGTTATATGCATACTGTGACACCCCCTTTTTTTTTCCTGATGCTTAACCCAGCTCTATGGCTTTGTATTAATAGACTGTGACACCCTTCTTGCTGCATTCTGATGTAGTTGGGAGGGAGGGAGGGAGGGAGACGGAGCAGCTGAATCTAGTGGAGGCCGAGGAGCGGTGGTCACAGGAGCACAAGTGTACAAGACAACAATACGTTGGATGCAGCACAGCTGCACATCTGATTATCTAGATGAACTCAATAGCCTAATGAGCTGATTGGGAAATATAAGCAAATTGATTATATTTTAACAAAATCCTATGAAAAGAAGATATAGTACCCTGCCATAACATGAAACCAGGAGTATGTTCTGTATGTATACTAACTTACATAATTGTTCGTATATGGTGTCTCTTCACATAAGTTGAAGTAAATCACAAGAAATAATGTATATTTAGATAGCTAGCTAGCTAGGTGGCACAATCCAGAAAGGTTTGCGCCAGAGAATCAAGTTGTCATGATGGTGGACTCGGGTAATCTCTTGGGTGTTTGTTTCTAAGTCAAAAATGCACAAATCAGCATCATCATCCATGAAATTCTTCATAAAGAATATCTGGATTGCTTTCAGTCCCAGAGCGCTTGCCGAGCAAGAAGCCGCCATGTTTGTACCCTCCAAGAGAAACACAACATCTCCAATGTCATGCACACTGCGCCAACAAGCTTGTGTTGAGGAGAAATCCATCCTATGCACCTCTACGGTGCCAATGTTGTTTAGATCAAAGCCAATGAAGCAGGTGGTGACTAAAAAGAGTTGATCCTGCGACTCAACCAACCAGTGTCTACCAATGGACAATCCTTTAGGGAGACGGGCCAAAGGGACATTGAATTTTTGGAATGTAGGGTGGTTTTGATGATTTGTTGTGGAATTGCAGGATGAGAAATCCATGGCGCACATGCCTTTAGTCAAATTGGTGAAGTAGATTTTTCCTTGTACGGAAGCCATGAAGGTGATCATCTTCTTGGTAGGACGGCGACGGCAACGGAGGCGTGCCTTTTTCCCCTTCGGTGGCTCTGGTATAGAAGGATGGTTACCGATGTCATATGAGTAATGTCTCCACCTCCTGCTGCTGTTGTCGCCATCGCCGGTGGTGTGGCAGTACCAGAGATCAGGCGCGGTGTTATTGAAGAGCACTACAACACATCCTGGGTGAGTTGGGTCCTTGTGGGAGAGCAGGCATCTGCATTGGTATGGGATCTGGTGTTCCTCTCCGAGATCTGGCAAGGGTAGCTTGGTGCCGGTGCTAGGGTTCCATAGACAAGCCGAAGAAGACGTCGTGCCACGGTCCTGGGCGAGTATCCAGCCCTGTGCAGTGGTCCAGCACATGCTGTTGCCTGCGTCTAGAAGGTCATGCTCCATGTTCTTGTGCAGGGTTTGCTTGGATATGCTAAACATTAGCATCTCGTCGTCACCGTCCTCTTGGCCATCAATCCATCATCAGGATGATGGTGGAAGACAAGCAAAGGCAAACAGGACGACATGGACGATCCAAATTTAGTAGCGTCCGCGTGTTCCACCATGGTTCTTCTTCGTGGAGACCTGGACGAAGACGACGTGGATCTACCTATTAGGGATCGGAGCGGGTTAATCAGGCTGCAGAGACTAGAACGACAATTGATCGGCTGATTGGAGGATTATTATTGCTTGGTACCCTCAGCTATATATATGCACGTTCCATAAAAAAAACTATATAAATATACATATTACCCTGTAGCTGGCTACAAAATAACTTATTCTGTAGCCACTTTGAGTTACGATAATTACTATCAGCCTGTTCGCTTGCTCGTAAACGATCGTAAATTTTCAGCCGAGAACAATGTTTTTCTCTCACACCAAACCAGTCAGCAGTAAATAATCCACGATACGATACGGCCTCCCGAACAGGCTGTATATTAATTTACGAGATTATAGTAACTCCTTACTAAGTGGTTTACTATAACGTTATGGTAAATATCACCATGTGTTTCTAGGGCTTCTGCCGACAGTTTTTGAGGTCCCATGAGTTTCCAGGACGCGCGTAGGTGCCCTTGAAGTTGCCCACGAAAATCTCCTTTAGATCCGTCCAGCTGTGGATGCGGTTGGGTGGAAGGTGCTCCAGCTATGTTCGTGTCGAGTCAGCAAGGATCAAGGGGAGGTTGCGGATAATGAAACTATCACTATCCGCGCCACCGGCCTGGCAAGCGAGCCGATAGTCCTCAAGCCACAGCCCGGGGTTCGTTTCCCCGGAGTATTTTGGGACGTTGGTCGGCGGCCGATACCGTGGCGGGAAGGGCGCGTTGAGGATGTGCCGACCAAAAGCCTGAGGCCCCGGTAGGTCAGGGCTCGGGCTCCGATCCTCAGCGCTATCGTAGCGCCCACCGCGACGAGGGTGGTAGCCATGGCTGGCCCCGCCCCTCTCGCAGCCATGGGCACGCCTGCGGGCGTTCAGGGTGTCGCGGGCGTCGTGGTTGTGGCTGAGGCGCTCGCGCACCGGGACCGTAACCCGCCTGCCATCGTCGTGTGGTGCTTGGTGGACGAAAACGTCCTTGCCATGCTGCCCAGAAGATGCATGCTGGCCGACGTCGAGCTCGCGTCGTCGGGACAACGAGCTCTCGGCCTGCTGTACCGCGGCACGTTCGAGTAACGTGCAGATCTCTCGGTGAGTCTGACGGTCCTTTGGCGTCACGGGCTCAGGGAGCCCTCGGAGCAAGGCTGCTGCGGCCGCTATGTTCTGGCTCGCCCGGGTGAAGCGCGGGAGGCCCCCATTGTCCTCGACGATCCTCTGGTTCACCTCGCGCGCCCTGGAGCTCGCGTGTCCGCCGTCTCCCCATTGCGCGATCTCCTGCTCGAGCTCTGTATGTTCTTGCTCAAGTTGGAGCTGCGCCTCCTCGAGCTCCTAGCACCGCGCGCGCAGTTGCTCCTCCTGCATGTGCAGCAAAGCCTCCGGGCCTTCGTCGTCGTTGCCGTTGTCGCGCGACGGATCAGCCGCCTCGTGGACGCTTTCGGCACGCCCTTCGGGGGTCTCCGCCATGAAGCACTCCCGTGAGGGTGATGGCTGCCCCTGCTGGAGTCGGTGCCAGAAAAAGATTCCGAGTCCCCTGCAAGAAGGTCGTGGATTGATTCCGCGACATACTCCACCGCTCCCACGAACGCGTCGTTCGTAGGGGGCGGGCGGAAGTGCCGCGCCATGAGGTGGCCCATGGCCCACGCAGCGTTGCGCAGGCCGAAGGGGAACGCCGCCGTGGCTGCTCCAATGAGCTGCTCCGGGGTGAGCGGCTCCCCTCCAGCGAGCTGCATCATGGCGTTGGCGTAGGAGAAGGCGAGGCAGCGCAGGTCCTCCCGGGATGGTCGGGGTCCCAGGAAGGCGGCGAGCTGGCGCTCAAGCCTCCCGTAATCGAAGTCGAGGAGTTGGTCGCCCCAAGGGGTGCGAGCCTCCGGTGCGTGAAGCCACAGCTCCTCGAATGCCTCGTCGATCACGTCGAGGCTAGTGGAGTGAAGAAGTCGGGTGGTGGTGGGAGCCTGCATCAGCTCCCCCTCCACAGTGATGACGAAGTCTAGGCTCCCGAAGCACACGTGCGCGTCCGAGACCCAGCTAATGCCGAGGTTGGCCATCCGAAGCATGGAGATGATGTCGAGACGCGCAAAAGACCCCTACCTGGTGCGCCAACTGTCGGTGTTTCGAGTTACCGACTAGTAAATTTCTAGTATTGCGTGTCTAGCTCGGATGGTGTGCTTAGAGGACATAAGGTTTATACTGGTTCGGGCTGAAAGTCCCTACGTCCAGTTCGTCGCTGCTGCTCGTGTTACTAGCACTGAGAGTTTGCAGTAGGGGTTACAAACGGGCGAGAAAGGGATAGGATCCCAAGTCTCTGGTGTGTGTGTGTCGCTAGGACGAGTTGAGTGTGTTCTGCTATGTTGGGCGTGTTCTTCCCTGCTCCTCATGGGGTGTCCTGTTTCCCCTTTTATAGATGAAGGGGAAGAGCAGGTTACAGAGATAGAGAGAGAGAAAAAAAGTCAAAAGGGAGGTCTCCAGTCCGCAGAGTCTTTCTTCTTCTTTGCGCGGGTCCCACCGGTACTGTAGATGGTGATAGGGACAGCTCCTGGCCAGGCTCCTATTCACCCCCGATGCTACCCCCTGGCGTCATCAGCGGGCCGTAGCGTCCCATCCTGTTTCGACGGATGACGCAGTGAGCCGACGCACCGGTCAGCGGCCGTATGGGGAGTGGGTAGCATAGTGACCGAGCGTCCATTACTGTGGGCAATGTGAACTCCCGGGGGTGACATGTCGTGGCCATGGTCATGTCGAGGCATGCCTGCCTCCTGTCAGATGCCAGAATTTTGACCCTAGGGTCGTACTTTCTGACCGGAGTGGTTGGGGGCGGTATGGGCTGCCGTCGGGCGGAGCGGAGTCCCTGACCCAGAGCTCGAGCGAGACGGAATCCGCCCCCAGCGGTCGGGTGAGGCGGAGTCCCTGACTCAGAGGTCGGGCGAGACAGAATCCGCCCCCAGTGGTCAGGCGAAGTGGAGTCCGTACGTCAGCGGTCGGGCGCGAGGCGGTACCCGCGCCCCTGGGGTCAGCCGAGGCGGGACCCGTCCTCTGTGGTCGGGTGAGGCGAAGCCCGCGCCATCCTCTGTGGTCGGGCGAGGCAGAGCCCATGACCAAGGGTCGGGCGAAGCGGGACTTGAGGCGGAGTCACGCGCCCCAGGGGTCGGTTGAAGCCGTAGCCGCGCGTTCGATTGCTCGGGTTAATTAGTGTTGATGACCATTAGCTCCTCCTTTTCGGGTACCCTAGTATTGATCCCCGATAGTAGTTCTCTTGGATACTGTGTGTAGTTTCAATCATAAAGACCGCCCTGAAACAACAAAATAAAATAAGTGTTGGTGGGGGTGTTTCATTCACTATTTCAAAGCACCCCATTGGGATTGGCCTTATAAGGGGTGTTTGGTTCCACCTCCTAAACTTTAGTCGCTGTCCCATCGGATGTTTGGATACATGTATGGAGTATTAAATATAGATTATTTACGAAACTAAATGCACAGATTGAGACTGTTTTGCGAGACGAAAATTTTAAGCCTAATTAGTCCATAATTTGATACTGTTGTGCTACAGTAACATGTGCTAATGATGGATTAATTAGGCTTAATAAATTTATCTCGCGGATTACTGACGGATTCTGTAATTTATTTTTTTATTAGTATCCGAACACCCCATGCGACACCCCCATGTGACACCTCCTAAACTTTAGTCCCTGAATCCAAACAGCCCCTAAGTAACTTCCGGAATGCTAGAACCAGCACTATATGGCAGTAGAACAATGATCAATATCACAAATCTATCCATGGAAAAACCATAAAAGAAATATGGCTTACTGTACATCATACATAGGTTAAAAGAACACTAGCTCAATTGAAACCCTTTTCTATATGAATTTGTTGAACAACCACAAAATCTAATGTAGAAAAGAAATAATCACAAAACCAACATGTGCTATTTCTCTTAATGTAACTAATCAACATAAGTGTCTGAAGGTATACAAATCATAGGAATATAAACTTACAGTTACAGTGAAACCCTTCGAAGTTTGCATTGCACAAGACTAGTTCCCCAGGCATCCAAGATTTTTAGAAGTTCCCAAAGCATATTATGAGCCTGTTTTTTTTTGACAAGTCAACGGGGGGACGATTGTCCCCACCTGAATATATTTCCACAGATACCGGCAAGGCCGGGAATGGAAGGTTACAAAGCGGGGCAGACCCCTGGGGTACAAAGCAGGATCGAGACAGGAACACCAACACAACACTAATAAAAGCAATACAACAAGGAAAAACAACTAGGAACAACATAGCTAGGCTTTAGCATAACCCATGACGAGGACATGTCGTTGATCTCCGAACACTGCACCACCAAGTGACAACTCTCCAAAGAACTCCAATTTCCATGCAACTGTGAGGCTCAGAGTCGAGGTTTCGGCGGGCATTTACGTCGTGATGTATATCATCTATGGTGCACATCCGGGATCCAGTCGTCGTCCCCCAACGCCCCTTAATGGGAGGAAGCCTTAAAGGAGGGAGGACCGACAAATGGAGAACGAGGAGATCCAAGAGAGGGGACCATGGTCTTGCTAACCCGGCATAAGTTGAGATGATGCAATCAAGGATCTTGGAGGGCGTTAGATTGATGAAACTGGTAGCTGACACCATCCGTCAAGCAACTTGTGCACCCATAATGGGGGAGCTAGCAGAGAACCCAAGAAAGTGTTTGGCGAAGTCTGAGGCGAACCTCCACGGTGACGCCTACAAGTAGGACGCATAGCAATGCCGCCGCCGCCACCGCCCGTAAGAACCGAACTAGATTTTCACCGGAGGTGTCCTAGGGTTG